TGCCCTGTGTGCTCTTCATCTGCCTGCCTCCCTGGTCTCTGGTTCATGGGAGGTCACTGCAGGAGACGGGGCAGGTGCCGGAGAATGATCAGCTGGCCTGTATCTGGCCTCGACCTGTCCACACCTGCAGAGCTCTCTTGCCTCTTCCCATAACTCTCTGCACGCAGCCTTCTCACGGGCTCCAGACTAGACTTAGACACAGCACCCATTTCAGTCCAGACTCCCTGGACACCTCCTCAGGGTCCCCAGTGCCTTCCTTTCCTGTGGCTGCTATGACAAAATACTACAAACTGGGTGGTTTAAAACAAGGGAAAAGCCAGGCTTGGTGGCTCACGCCTATAATCCCAGCACTTTGGGAGGCTGAGGCGGGTGGATCACGAGGTCATGAGATCAAGACCATCCTGGTCAACATGGTGAAACCCCGTCTCTACTAAAAATACGAAAATTAGCTGGGCATGGTGGCACGCGCCTGTAGTCCCAGCTACTCGGGAAGCTGAGGCAGGAGAATTTCTTGAACCCAGGAGGCGGAGGTTGCGGTGAGCCGAGATCGAGCCATTGCACTCCAGCCTGGGTAAAAAAAAAAACAAGGGAAACATAGCTGGGCGCGGTGGCTCACACCTGTAATTCTAGCACTTTGGGAGGTCGAGGTGGGCAGATCACCTGAGGTCAGGAGTTCGAGACCAGCCTGGCCAAATTGGTGAAACCCTGTCTCTACTAAAAATACAAAATTAGCCGGGTGTGGTGCACATACCTGTAGTCCCAGCTACTCGGGAGGCTGAGGCAAGAGAATCGCTTGCGCCAGTGAGGCAGAGGTTGCAGTGAGCTGAGATGGTGCCCCTGCCCTCCAGCCTGGGCAACAGAGCCATCTCAAAAAACAACAAGGGAAATGTATTGTCTCCCAGTTCACCAGGCTGGAAATTTGAAATCAAGGCATGGGCATGGCCTAACCCTCCAAGGTTCTAGGGGAGAATCCTTCCTGGCTTCTTCCAGCTTCTGATAGTGCAGGGCCTTCCTGGGCTTGAGGCTGCATCAGCCCTGTCTCTGCCTCTGTCTCCATAGAGCTGGTTTCCCTTGTGTGTCTCCTCTTCTTATAAAGACACCACGGGGCTGGGCGCAGTGGCTCACACCTGTAATCCAAGGACTTTGGGAGTCTGAGGCAGGTAGATCACGAGGTCAGGAGATCAAGACCAGCCTGCCCAACATGGTGAAACCCCATCTCTACTAAATACGAAAATTAGCCGGGCGTGGTGGTGTGCACCTGTAGACCCAGCTACTGGGGAGGCTGAGGCAGGAGAATCGCTTTAACCCGGGAGGTGGAGGTTGCAGTGAGCCAAGATCACACCACTCCAGCCTGGGAGACGGAGCAGACTCTGTCTCAAAAAAAAAAAACAAAAAAAAACCAAAAATAAAAACCAAAAAAAAAACCCCACAAGAAAATGTCCAGGTGCAGCGGCTCGAGCCTGTAATCCCAACACTTTGGGAGGCTGAGGTGGGAGGACTGCTAGAAGCCAGGTGTTTGAGACCAGCTTGGGCAACAAAGCAAGACCCCTATGTCTCCAAAAAAACAAAAACATTAGCCAGGTGGAGTGAGGTGTGCCTGTAGTTGTAGCTACATGGGAGGCTGAGGTGGGAGGATGGCTTGAGCCCAGGAGTTTGAGGCTGCAGTGAGCCATGATCTCACCACTGCACTCTAGCTTCAGGGACAGAGCAAAATCCTATCAAAAAGAAAAAAGAAAAAAAGAGAGAGAGAGAAACTCAAAACTTGACAACCACTGTTTATCTCTCTCTAGCTCTCTCCTGTCTCACTTTCCAAGTGTAAAGCAGCCTCCACCCCCAGCCCTGTCGTCATCCTCCTGAGTACCAGAGAAACCATCTCTGTTGCTCTCTGAACTGCTGTGCACTTTGTCAGAGATCAGTCCCTTTATTTAATTAATTAATTTATTTATTGAGATGGAGTCTCACTCTGTCACCCAGGCTGGAGTGCAGTGGCGTGATCTTGGCTTGCTGCAACTTCTGCCACCCAGGTTCAAGCAATTCTCCTGTCTCGGCCTCTTGAGAAGCTGGGACCATAGGCACACACCACCATGCCCAACTAAATTTTATAATTTTGTAGAGACCAGGTTTCACCATGTTGGCCAGGCTGGTCTCGAACTCCTGACCTCAGGTGATCTGCCCACCTTGGCTTCCCAAAGTGCTGGATTACAGGCATGAAACCACCGTGCCCAGGCAGTCTCTTTATTAAACTGGCCTCCATTACACGTATGAGTGGTCATGTGCTTCCTGCCTGGGGCAGCCCCTTGGTATGAATTCAAAAGGGGCTCCCCTTCATCCAGGTGGAAGGAGCAGCAGGTGGAAAGAGGCCAGTCGTCACCTACCCTCAGGCTGGGCTGGGTGTCCTTGTACTGGGCTCCTTCTGCCCTTCAGCAACACCACAGCTCTGGGCTTGGGGCTTTTTCTTCTTTTTTGTTTTTTACAGATTTAACTTGGGAGCCTCTGTTGGGCAGAGCTGCTTTTTTTTTGAGACCGAGTCTTGCTCTGTCACCCAGGCTGGAGTGGAGTGGTGACACCTTGGCTCACTGTAACCTCTGCCCTCTGGGTTCAAGCAATTTTCATGCTTCAGCCTCCTGAGTAGCTGGGATTACAGGTGTGCGCCATCATGCCGAGCTAAGTTTTGTCTTTTTAGTAGAAATGAGATTTCACTGTGTTGGTCAGGCTGATCTTGAACTCCTGACCTCAAGCAGTCCTCCTGCCTTGGCCTCCCAAAGTGCTGGGATTATAGGTGTGAGCCACTGCACCTGACCCCGAGCTGCGTTTTTGGAAAAGGACCTTGTGAGCAGAAATCTTTAACCGGGGCCTTTAGTTTTCTGTGTAATCACAGAGACTCAAAAAGCCCATGGCTGGATTTCAGAGAATTGCTTGTACCCAGGAGGTGGAGGTTGCAGTGAGCCAAGATCATATCATTGCACTCCAGCCTGGGTAACAAGAGAAAAACTGTCTCAAAAAAAACCACGAAAACCCCAGCCTCTCCTCTCAGTGTCCATTCCTGTACTCTGCCTTGCTTCCCTGTAAAGGGAAGAACTTGACATTATGTATTTATGGGTTGGCAGTGTTCTCCCTCCTCCAATAGCATGACAGCTCCATGGGGGCAGGGACCTTGTCTGTTTTGCTCACCATTGTACCCTCAAGGCGTAGAATAGTGCCTTGCCCAAAGTAGATGCTCAATGAACATTTGTGGAAGGATAAGGAAGAAGAAACCCTGATATTACATGTAACATTTCATGCATGCATGCATTTCCCTGGGGTGGGGACCATATTTTCTTTTTTCAATTTTATTATATTATTTATTTAATTAAATTAATTAATTTATTTTTTAAGACAGAGTCTTACTCTGTTGCCCAGGCTAGAGTGCAGTGGTGTGATCTTGGCTCACTGCAACCTCCACCTCCCGTGTTCAAGCAATTCTCCTGCCTCAGCCTCCTCAGCAGCTGGGATTACAGGCATGTGCCATCATGCCTGACTAATTTTTTGTATTTGTAGTAGAGACGGGGTTTCACCGTGTTAGCCAGGATGGTCTCTATCTCCTGACCTCACATGATCCGCCTGCCTCGGCCTCCCAAATTGCTGGGATTACAGGTGTGAGCCACCTCTTTGGGCTCAAAGTTTAAGAACTACCAAAAAGCCAGTCCTGAAAGACCCCTTGGGCTCACAGGTCCAGAGAAACCCGGACAGGACATGAAAAGGGAATGGAGGTCAAGTTGGAGACAGGGAAGGACTCTGAGAGCCGGTTCACAGGCTGGCGGATGTATGGGGGGGCAGGCTGGGAGGGGAACCCAGGGCCCCTTCCTGTCCCGCCTCCTGCTTCCCCTGTGTTGGGTTGCACAGCCACTGAGGTCAAAGCCAGATGACAGGATGGAAACAAAGGCTGGGCGAAGTGGGTCACGCTGTAATTAATCCCAGCACTTTGGGAGGCTGAGGCAGGCAGATCACCTGAGGTCAAGAGTTGAGACCAGCCTGGCCAACCTGGCTAAACCCCATCTCTAATTAAAAAATAATAATAATAAAACAAAATTAAAAAAAAATATATATATATAAATTTAGCTGGGCGTGGTGAGGCATTTTGGAGGTCGAGGCAGGAGAATTGCTTGAACCTGGGAGGCAGAGGTTGCAGTGAGCCGAGTTGGTGCCACTGCACTCCAGCCTGGGCGACAGAGCGACACTCTATCTAAAAACAAGCAAAAAAAAAAAAAAAAAAAAAAAAAGCCAGGTGTGGTGGTTCATGCCTATAATCCCAGCACTTTGAGATCCCAAGGCGGGTGGATCACTTGAGGTCAGGAGTTCGAGTCCAGCCTGGACAAAATGGTGAAACCCTGTCGCTACTAAAAAATACAAAAAAAGATTGCTGGGCACGGTGGTGCACGCCTGTAATCCCAGCTACTTGGGAGACTGAGGCAGGAGAATCACTTGAACCCGAAGGCGGAGGTTGCAGTGAGCCAAGACCCGCCATTGCACTCCAGCCTGGGCAACAGAGCAAAACTCTGTCTCAAACAAAAACCAAAAAACCCCCAAATTACCAGGTGTGGTGGCACACACCTGTAGTCCCAGCTACTTGCCACCCCGTCTCTACTAAAAATACATAATTAGTCGGGTGTGGTGGTATGTGGCTGTAGTTCCAACTACTCGGGAGACTGAGGCAGGAGAATCTCTTGAACCCGGGAGGCAGAGGTCGCAGTGAACTAAGATTGTGCCATTGCACTCCAGCCTGGGCAACAGAGCGAAACTCTGTCAAAAAACAAACAAACAAACAAAAAAAACCAATAAAACCCAAAAATTATCTGGGTGGTGAGCACCTGTAGTCCCGGGTACAGCTACTCTGGAGGCTGAGGCAGGAGGATCACTTGAACCCGGGCAGTGAGCCGAGATGGCGCCACTGCACTCCAGCTGAGGCGACATCGCAAGACTCTGTCTCACAAAGAAACCGAAGACAGAAACAGATAGAACCATTTCAAAGATGACTGTAGAAACTTTTTATTCACCAGAGCTCAATACTCAGGGTCTGAGCCAAAAACTGAACAACTTAAAATCTGACGGGGGCCCTTCTTTTCTTTTCCCCTAAAATAAAATCTAGGCTGTTGCCTTTTCCATCCAGGTACTCAAACTCCTTTTTATCGGAACTTCCTTGACTTAAACGTTGGAGGACGAAACACACAGGAGGAAAAAATGTACTTTAGACAAGTATCATGATTTATGGGGGCGGATGGTAGGTGGCGGAGAGATGCGTGGCTCGCTGGGGGAAAGGACCAGTTGGTGATCTGGGGATGGGGGCAGGTACCGAGTGCAATGGGCTGAACAAGGAAAAGAGCAACCAGGGAGCATTGAAACGGGTCAGCTCACCCCACTGCTCTCCATCCATAGGTGAGCCTGCGAAGACATGGTGCTCTCCAGGGACACGGGGCCGTCCAGCGTCCCACTGAGGTCCTGAGGGATGGATGCTGAGGGCAGGGAATGAATGAACCGGTGTGGTCCACGATGACACCGCGGTTCTGCAGGAGGCTGAAAGTGGAGAAGGCTGGTCTTAAGTCGACATCCCGTCTTGAAGTTCTTGGGTGGGCACTTCTGAACCAGCCTTGTTCAGTGTCTCCCGAGGGCTGGTTTGGAACAGCACTGAGGAATCCTGGAGGTTCGAATATCCAAGAACTCCAGGGGGAACGGAGAAGTCGAAGGGGCAGGGCTCTTGTCACCAGCAGGCCCCACGAGGACAAAACATCCACGAACCGGGACCCAGAGGGCGCTGCAGGGCTGTGCAGGCCGGGTTCCCGGCACACCAAGGACCCTCGGATGCTTGAGCTCCGAGGGCTGACAGGTCCAAGGGGGCGGGGCTGGCCTGGCTCCCAGCAGCCTCCCCTGTTTCAGGATCCAGCAGGGTGGAGTTCTTGGGGCCAGAAATTCCAAAGGGCTGGGTGACTGGAGAAGAGAGTGGAGGGACTTGGGTGGGATGGACCAGGAGGGTCAGGGGTGTGGGTGGTGGGCATCTCACGGTCCTCAGCGCTTGACCCTGCGTCCAGCCGAGTTGCGCCCGCTGCGGCGGTACAGGGACTGCTGGCCACCGTTGAGCGGGCAGTACTTGAGCGTGTGGGCCTGGCCGCCGGTGGCCCCGCACACGGGGCACACATAGTGCCTCAGGATGGGACACACCACCATGCCGTCCGGTGTCTTCAGCTGGTGTGAGGAGTAGACGTTGTGGGACTCCCCGTTGTGCTTGCAGAAGTTACACAGAGTGCCCAGGCCCCCGGGGGCCCCCGGCCCTCCCAGTCCCTGATCCTGCCCCAGTGGGGGCCCGGGACTTGGCTCATCAGTTTCTTGAGTCTCCAGCTTTTGCCCCCGACTCTCAATCAGCTCCCATACTAACTGGCTCAGGTTGAAGTAGTCCTTCCACATGTCGAAGGGTGGCAGCTGCGGCAGCTGCATGGCACCAAAGCAGGGGTGGTGGGCACTGGAGAGGGGCTGGGGCTGCAGGCCTGTGGGCAAAGGCAAGAGCAGCAGGCGTTTCCCGGAGTAGAAAGGAGCTGCACCCCCTTTTATAATCCCCAGAAACTCTTCTAAGCAAAGGTGGAGCTTAGGATTTAAAGGGGCCACTCCCACCCATAACCCCCATCTGACTTTAGTACTTCACGGAGATCTGGAAGGAGGTCATTCCCCTGGTCTCTGGTTCCTGCTCTGCCGCCAAGGTGTTCTGTGTCCTCTGAGAAGACACTTCCACTTTCTGTGCCTCAGTTTCCCTATTTGTTCAAAGAAAGTCCATGTTTGCAAACATCTCCCACTCCTAAGCTGGAGTGGCTGCACCCTTCGTAGACTTCAAAGTGATTCCTAATCATCATAACAGCCAGGCTGGGTGCAGTGGCTCACACCTGTAATCCCGGCAGTTTGGGAAGCTGAGGCAGGAAGATGGCTTCAGCCCAGAACCTCTAGGCCAGCGTGGGCAAAATAGCCAGACCTTCTCTATAAAAAATAAAAAGACAAAAATAGTAATAACATGATCTGATTTATTTTATTTATTTGAGACACTGTCTCGCTCTGTCGTCCAGGCTGGAGTGCAATGGTGCGATCTCGGCTCACTGTAACCTCCGCTTCCTGGGTTCAAGTAATTCTCCTGCCTCAGCCTACAGAGTAGCTGGGATTACAGGTGCCGGCCACCAAGCCCAGCTATTGGCCAGGCTGGTCTTGAACTCCTGACCTCAGGTGATCCACTTGCCTCAGCCTCCCAAAGTGCGGGATTACAGGCATGAGCCACTGCTCCTGGCCTATTATTTTCATTTTACAGAGAAAGATAGAAAGCCTGGAGAGGTTAAGGAATGTATCCAAGGTGACAGCAGGGAAATGGCAGAGCCAGGTTTCATACTCACTCTGGGAACTGGGAATTGATGTTAGAAGTGGCAGAGGACCTTGGCATGGGACAGTCTCATTTAGAATGCCCCCTCTTGGGCTGGACGTGGTGGGTCACACCCGTAATCCTAATACTTTGGGAAGCTGAGGCTAGAGAATCACTTGAACCCAGGAGGCAGAGGTTGCAGTGAGTCGATATCGCACTGTTGCACTCCAGCCTGTGTGACAGAGTGAGACTCCGTCACACACACACACACACACACACACACACACACACACACAAAGGTGATCCTGAAATTTGAGAACAGCATGGGGGCTGGAGTGGCTAGAATGGAGGGAAGGTCCCAAGATGAAGCCAGCATGGTTTGCAGGGGCTGGACACCCTCAGACCCTGAACATCTCCCTTAGGGCATGTTTTGGAATTAGTGGGGATGTTTTGAGTTTGTCACACTGATTGGGGGTGTGGCTGAATTTAGTGGGTGGGGACAAGGGATGGCAGATATCTCAGCAGTTCACATCATGAAGAACTGTTCTGGACCTACTTAACTTTCCAGTGTCCACTGAATACCCATCTAGGTAGAAAACCCCATTTATAATTATCCACATTCAGAACCTAGCTATGTTTTATATATATATATGTAGGTTTTATACATAAGCACTAAGTGCTTTTTTTTTTTTTGGTACCAAATTTCTTTATTTGAAGGAATGGTACAAAGAACTTAAGTGGATGTTTTGGTACAACTTATAGAAAAGGTAAAGGAAACCCCAATATGCATGCACTGCCTGGGTGACCAGGTGGGGAAATCAGCCTAAGGCTTGGCTTTCATTATCGCTCTCTCCCAGGGTGTGCTTGTCAAAGAGATATTCTGCCAAGCCAGATTGGGGTGCTCCCATCTTGCGCAAGTTGGTCACGTGGTCACCCAATTCTTTGATGGATTTCACCTACTCATTCAGGTAATGCGTCTCAATGAAGTCACACAAATGGGGGTCATTTTTGTCAGTGGCCAGTTTGTGCAGTTCCAGTAGTGACTGATTCACATTTTTTTCCCAAATGTAATGCACACTCCATGGCATTCAGCCCGCTCTCCCGGTCATCACGGTCTGGTTTCTTGATATCCTGGAGGATGCGGCCACCTGGTTGGGTCTGCAGCTTCATCAGTTTCTCCGCATGTTCCCTCTCCTCCTGAGGTTGGTGAAGAAAGCACTTGGCAAAGTTCTTCACAGCCACATCATTTCGGTCAAAGTAGTAAGACATGGACAGGTAAACATAGGAGGCGTAGAGCTCCAGGTTGATTTGGCGGTTGATGGCAGCCTCTGAATCCTGGTGGTAGTTCTGGCGCACCTGCGAAGGTGATGCGGTCGTCATGGCGGCGGCTGCGCGGCGCTGGAGAGGCGGGGGCCTTGGACGCAGTGTGGAGGTGACGGAGGGCCGGCTGTGTCGCGGGGGCCGGCCGGGGTGGTGGGGGATGAGCGCCGGATTCCGTCCAAGCACTGTTTTTTTTTTTTTTTTTTTTTAAGACGGAGTTTCGCTCTTGTTACCCAGGCTGGAGTGCAATGGCACGATCTCCGCTTACTGCAACCCCCGCCTTCCGGGTTCAAGTGATCCTCCTGCCTCAGCCTCCAGAGTAGCCGGGACTACAGGTGTGCGCCACTACGCCCAGCTAATTTTTGTATTTTTAGTAGAGACAGGGTTTCACCATGTTGGTCAGGCTGGTCTCGAACTGCTAACCTCATGATCTGCCTGCCTCGGGCTCCCAAAGTGCTGGTATTACAGGCATGAGCCACCACTCCGGGCCAGCACTAAGTGCTTTTTGCAATATTTTAAGATAACACTAATTTTTCCTGGAATGCAACTACTGTGTTCATTCTGGCCTTCACTGGTTTTTCTGAGAACTTTATGCAGTTATTCACCAATTCTAGAAGCCAACACACTTAAGGCAATACTGCTTGTGGTATCTGTCTCCAAACAACGTACCATTTGTTTGCATCTCATCCGTGGTGAATCTATACAGAGAGGCTAGTGTCTACTCACTCATATGATTTTTAGAGTGTCCATGCCTGAGATTTATACACTTAAATAGACATTATTTTATTATAAATTACTCTTTTTATTTTCCCTTTGTATTTTAGTTAGGACACAATGTCCATTTTTGAAAATAAAATGTGTGGCTGGGCACAGTGGCTCACGCCTGTAATCCCAGCACTCTGGAAGGCTGAGGTAGGAGGATCACTTGAGGTCAGGAGTTCAAGACCAGCCTGGCCAACATGGCAAAACCCCACCTCTACTAAAAATTCAAAAATTAGCCAGACGTGATGGCATGCACCTGCAATCCAAGCTACTTGGGAGGCTGAGGCAGGAGAATTGCTTGAACCCAGGAAGTGGAGGTTGCAGTGAGCTGAGATAGCACCACTGCACTCCAGCCTGGGTGACAGAGTGAGACTCTCTCAGAAAAAAATAAAAAATTAAAAAAAAATAAATAAAATTTGTATGTTGGTGGGCTATATTACCTATGAGTTTAATTTTTAAGATCCTAAAGGAGAATTTCAAAATCTTATCTATGGTTTTGGGGGTCCTCTCTTGGCACCATCCATTGTCCCAAATTCTCATGCCTGTGATCCCAGCACTTTGGGAGGATGAGGCAGGAGGATCACTTCAGCCCAGGAGGTTGAGACCAGCCTGGGTAGTATAGTGAGACCTAGTATCTATAAAAAGTATGAAAAAAGGCCGGGTGTGCTATCTCATGCCTGTAATCCCAGCACTTTGCGAGGCCAAAGCGGGTGGATCATGAGGTCAGGAGTTTGAGACCAGTCTGGCCAATGTGATGAAACCCCATCTCTACTAAAAATACAAAAAGTAGCTGGGCATGGTGGCTTGTGCCCGTAGTCCCAGCTACTCAGGAGACAGGCAGGAGAATCGCTTGAACCTGGGAGACGGAGGTTGCAGTGAGCTGAGATCATGCCACTGCATTCCAGCTTGGACAACAGAGCGAGACTTTGTCTCAAAAAAAAAGTACAAAAAAATTAACTGGTGGTGCATGCCTGTAGTCCCAGCTACTAGGAAGGCTTAGGCAGGAGGTTTGCTTGAACCCAGGAGGGTGAGACTCCCAGTGAGCTGTGTTAGTGTCACTGCACTCCAGCCTGGGCGAGGGAGTGAGACCCCATCTCAAAAAAAAAAATCATCTATGATAATGAAGACACAATAATTGTGGCAATAATCATAGGCAGACTCATTACTGAGCATCTTTGAGTATTTATTTGGCGATAATATACATGCTCAGGGATCTACCTGTGTCACGTCTAACTCCTTCCAGATCCTGTCAAACAGAGTCTGTTAATAGTCCTATTTTACAGATGAGCAAATGAAGACTCAGAGGGGCTCAGGAGCTTGTCCAAAGTCATATGAACAGTAAGTCTTAGTCTGGGGCGGGCGCAGTGGTTCATGCCTGTCAACCAGTACTTTGGGAAGCCGAGGCGGGCAGATCACTTATGGCCAGGAGTTAGAGACCAGCCTGGCCAATATGGTAAAACCCCGTCTCTACTACAAATACAAAAATTAGCTGGGCATGGTGGCACCTGCCTGTAATCCCAGCTACTTGGGAGAGTGAAGCAGGAGAATCGCTTGGATCCAGGAAGTAGAGGTTGCAGTGAGCCCAGATCGTGCTGCTGCACTCCTGCTTGGGTGACAGAGCAAGACTCTGTCTCAAAAAAATAAATTTAAAGTAAAAATAATGTTAAAAAAAAAAGTGTTACTCTGGAGCTGAAACCCAAGACTGACGAAGACCTCGGACATCCTGCCACCCCCTGTGAAGCACACACCCCCCTGTGAGTGAAAAGCCTGCCTAAGCCGTCAAGGGAAAGCAGGATAACTTGGGAGTCGTGCCGGTGTAGCGACAGATTGAGATGGGAAGTCAGGAAGGATGGGGGTATGTGAGCCAGGTAGCTTTTCAGACACAGAGCAGATAAGACCTGTCAGCCATCGACGCCCATACTCGTGAGCAGAAGAGACCCTGGTCTGCAGAATGCAGGAACAAGGGTCCCGAGGAGGCATCATGATGGGCACCGGGGTCTCTGTGCTGAATGCTTAGTGCAAAGTCACAGCGGGAGGTGCGAGTTCCCTTTGTGTGCAGGGCCTGGACCCAGTAACACAGTGTCAATAGTTACAGCTGTGGCATCTGCGGGTTGTCTGAGAATGATGTAAGGAGAGGCAGTTCTGAGGCGCCACGACTCTCCTTAACAATTGCACCTATTGTT